TTATTTATCAGCTACCAGGGAAAAATCAGTTTAATGTAAGGAATTAATTAAGCCAGCCTCTGACAGAAGCCAATATATCAATTTCTTAAAAACTTAAAATTTATTTAAAGGACTAAGTATAGGTGCATTGCATATACCTAATGGCTTTTCTGAGCTCCAAAATGCATTCATCTAAGCACTTGTAAGTGCTTCATTTCACAGTTTTGTTTCAGTAGAGAGTCTGATGTTCATCAAACATCAAGTCTGACAAAACAGCAAACTTCCTTCAATTAAGGTCATAATTTGAAATATTATTCAATAGTGGGATTTAAATTACATATAGGAAGAAAAGTAGAAGACTGAAAGAAGGTATCAGAAATCACTATTTGGTCTTTAGATTCAGAAAAATAAGACTCTAGGCCAACACTGCTCTAACAGAGGAAGGACATGAGCAGTTACCGGAATGTAACCCTCCCAACATTTCCAAAGGCCGGCAATGCAGTTGCTGTGATCTGAGGGCCTTGACACCTACATTTCTGGGAAATCACAGAATGGAAGTAATCTACAACTCTATTGAGAGGATGAACCCTTAACTACAAACATGCAGGAAGGAAGTCCTCAATTTCTTACTCTTCATGACTGCAGTATTCAAATAAAAAAATCATTCAGACAAAACGTGGTAGAAAAGGTAATAGGTGAGCAAAGCAGCAATAATTCATACTTGCAGTTAACTGATTTAATGATGATTTCTTCTACAAAGGTTGTTCTTAGATTAAAACACACACACACAAAACAAAACAAAAAAGAATCCCAGCAGCCTAGTGGAAGAAGTCCTCTGCACGATCTATCCAGCATGTTAACTAAGGCTGACTGAGTCCTGACTGACAACACCTGATCTGTATGACATGTGAATAGAGCAATGAATAACCAAAAATCTCTAAATTCAACCTCATCTCCTACCATTTTTAAAGAATAATTTAAAAGTTGAATTCTACCTTCACTGTTTCAACTATCTTACCCTGTAATTTGCTGAAGGTAGTGGTGAGCTGTCAAACAGCAAAAACAGAAAGTAAAGGTATCTAGATAATAAACCTCAACTGAAATTAGTCTTTGAGCAATTGAAATTTTACTTCATTAAGTTCTTTTTAAGAAAAAAATTCCTTAGGGCGCCTGGGTGGCTCAGTTGGTTAAGCGACTGCCTTCAGCTCAGGTCATGATCCTGGAGTCCCAGGATCGAGTCCCGCATCGGGCTCCCTGCTCGGCGGGGAGCCTGCTTCTCCCTCTGACCCTCCCCCCTCTCATGTGCTCTCTCATTCTCTCTCTCTCAAATAAATAAAATCTTAAAAAAAAAAAAAAGAAAAAAATTCCTTAGAAGTCCACATTCTTTACAACGCCTTTTCCGAGTCAAGGTAACAAAATCAGTATTACTTTCAGCTTAACAAGAATTATTGGTGGCGCCAAACAGGAGAACAGCTGTTTGTTTTTTAAACTTAATTATCATAAACAGTCTTTTAAATTAATATAAAAGTTCTCACGACAAGCAAAAAGATGGCTAAACTCCCTTTTAGACTCATGGTAACACCAAAACAACTTTAAGAATATAAGACAAACTGAAGTTAACTATTGCAGAGGGAATTTAAAAAGTCAGAACTGTTAAGAAATTTTTAAGAGAAATGCACTATTCTCACACAACTTGAAAAGGAAATGGGTGATTCATCAGAAGTCTAGATGAATCCAGAGACATGTTCATCCACTGATGTTCTACAGTGAACAGGGGCAGTTGCACAAGAAGTACACATAAAAGCTAAGTTTAAGAGTTGTAATTAAGAGTATTTTATATTTAAGCTTGGTAGAGGAAAAATTCTAATGAAATTTTTAAAGTAGAATCTCTTTTTGCCTTCTTTGGTATTTTAGCCATTAAACATTTATTTAGGAAAACCAGAGGCATCCAGTTCTAGAGTAATTGGGCATTTATATATGAAAAAAATCAGAAACCAATTAATAGATCTGTCATACACAAATACATATATACAAACATTTTATTTTAATAATACTCTTTATCACTTCAACTCAAATCATTCCATTATGAAAACGTCTTAATTGAAGAGAGAATATTTCTTCAAAACTCTAATTAAGCAGAGCTTTATCCATTAAATTTACAGCAATAGAGCCTTTAGAAATACATAATTCTTCATTTTACAATAATACTTCCCCTTTAAAAATTTGTCTTAGTTTGTCACAGATTTAAAATACAAGGCACCTAATGCTAGGAAAGGATAATACAGTTTATGTAGTGTGAGTGAACCAGACGTTTCTCAAATATGTTTTCTCTTTAAAGTCCCACTAAATTTACATGGACACATTTGCATAAAATTAAGCATTTTTTTCTGTGTTGTTAATTTGCAATATTCTATGAAAACTCAAAAATATAATCCGTACCTATTATAGGCAGCTTACTTCATCACTTTATCTGTTAAGAAACACTGATCTATATACTTAAATGATTTCTTGAAAACATTTTCATAATATAGTCCAGCATTTAACAAATAATATGTGAAAATAAAGTCTCCAGAACATCAGAATTTTATTCCTTGATTAGTTCAAATTATTTCATCAGCTGAATTCCTTGAGATGTATAAGGCAGGTTGGTCCTTTAGAGGAACTGTGGATTGGAAATTCCTATAACTGTAGTGATATGTACACAGCTACATAGCAAAGTACTTCATTATGAAATGAAGAAAACAGATCTGAGGAAAATATATTTTAGAGTTCCAAAGAACTGAAACTGTTATTTTTCAGACTAGGCACTGAAACATTTCCTACAAAAACTTGCCAGAGATTGTCTCTTCGCTGCATAATGTTCCATTATCAAGCTAAAAATAAAAACAAACACAAAATCATCATTAGTTTCCACCTGTCATAGCCTTAATTTTCTGTAGTTTATATTGCAAAAAGCAAATTATCTTAACATTGAAATATATATCAAACACAGTTTATGTACTTAACAACTGGATAGTGGAACTGGAGGTGAGTACTAAAAACTCACAGAAGTAAGTTCCATACTAATGTCGAAGGCTGACAGGCAACACTGCTTTAAGACTGCATAGTAAGTTTTATCCATGGCATACTCCATCATTACCTCATGGAGACAAAGACTCCTGCCACACCTGTCCTTCACACGTGATTGTAGTCCATCTTCACTATCTCCCCATTATCCAGCCCTAACTTCCAAAAATATTGAATCCTTGCCTGGGTAGGGGTGGGTATGAGGGTGAACATGGGAATAATGCACAGCATACTAGGGAGAGTATACATAAATTATAGTACTAAAAAGCTTTAAAGAATAACTACATGTATTTTTTTTTAACTTGAAGATGGCAAGTAAACATATTTAGTTCCACTCTGTCCCCAAAAGCTCAGCAGAATGACAATAAAGGGATTTTTTTTTTAAAGGAATAAATCACATGGACAAAGAGAAGAGCAGAGACAAGAAAACAACAGCCAACCAGATATTTCTAAAAGGAGGGGTGAAGAAACAACTAAAAACAGGAAAATTAGCATGGTTTACAGAAAAAGCAGTTAGACATTCAGATGCCCTGCCTTACTTTTCACAGCTCGTCAAGTGCCTCTTCTCCATCCCAGGAGAAGATATAAGGTGTATTCTCTAAAAGGGGTAAATAGAGGGTCTCTGGACTGGGGAAATGCCAGGCACAATCCAACATGACTCAGGTAAAAGTAACATTTATATAATCATAACAAGGTAAACACTGCTTATAGATCTATCCAGAAGTATACAATAACGATACAGGGATTAGGAGGTGCGAAGGCAGGCAAATGGGGTGGAGGCAGAGGAGGGGGAAACTTGAAAGTAATCCTATTCTCATCTACCAAAGTGGGAAAATCGACTGATGATGCCTAAAGGGGGGCGGCAGGGATCAAAACAACTGAGAGTTTAAAGTGCTTCCTCAGAGTAGGGCAAGAACTGAAGCAGGACAGGCAGTGCAGGGCAGGTGGCAGATGCTTTGTACAAAAAATTTGTAGAATTCTAACTCTCTGAACTATGTGCACGTATAACCATCATAACAATAAACGCAAGAATAAAAAATGACCAAAGAAACCCAGAACCAAGACAATTAGCCCTAGGTTAGAGGTGAATTTGCCATGAAGACAGTGACACTTAAGGCTCAAAGACCAATTTGAGTGCAAGGAGTCGACAGGAGTTGTTCAATGTTCTAGGTGAGGAAGGGAAGCTCAGTTGCTGTCAGGAAACATTTCAATATAAAAGGGACCTGAATCTCTCGAATTTCAGTAATTTACTGCGATCTCTCACTCTAAATGAATACATAACCACTTTTATACATGCCAAAAATATATGTTGGATGTATTTCAAGCATTCATTCAGTGAAAGATAAAATATCATGTACTCATTTGTCATGTCATAAATATAAAAGATAATATTTCTTAAAATTTTTTAAGAATGAGGAAATGTTCTTAAAACATTAAGTGAAAAAGCATAGTCAAAGAATCAGGATATCCACTATGCTAGTTATGGAAAACACACACACATATATATAGAAAAAAGACTGGATATACACCAAAATAATACATTTTCTACTTTTATACTAGAGGAAAAATATTTTTCTAAAATGTATCATTACATAAAATGATGATTCTTAGCATGAATAAAAGTAATAGTTAAACTTGGCATCATTTCATTTGCCTGCAGTTTAAACTTACCAAGTATTTAATACTTCCAATAATCTTATGAGAGGACTACTGTAACCCCATTTCACAAATAAGAAAACTGAGGCACAGACAGGTTCATGACCTTGCATAAGATTACACAGCTAGTACAGGGAGAAGCTAGAATTGGAACCCAGGCAGTGTGACTCTAGAGCTTGTCCCTTACCCTCTAGACTATACCGTCCCTGAAAAAGCTATTTATGGAAAACCAATTTTGTATTTGATCATTACAGGAATAAAGAATCTTATTCAATACTAATGCTAGTTAATGTACAAACCTGGACTACAGACAACAGCTAACTAGCTCCATCCTCCTGAGAAACACCGTGCATAGGAATGAGACTCTCGCACTGTTCACTGTCTTCTGGAACCCTTAAAAAAAAAAAATTTAAGACAATAGTTAAAGAAAGCTTTAGAACTGAAAGGAGCCCGTGAAAATGATCTATTCCATCGTCTGAATCTCTGAGGTCAGAACTAAGATTAGGGCAAGATTTCCCAATAATTTGCTCCAAATTCTTTTTATAATAGGATATAAAAATAAAAATCTTTTCAAAAAGAAAGAAATTGAAAAAAATTGAGGCAGTGTTATATTTTATTATAAATTTTATTCACACCAGTGAAAGTTTTCTACATTTAAATTCATTACAGCAAAACAGTAAGCACTTTGGTTTTACCTGTAAATCAAAACATTTTTTTAAAGTGGTTGTGAAGAAACTATCTTACCACCCAAAGGATCTGAACAACTTATTTTACCTGGCATAGTACACATACAAATTATAATCTTTTATTAATTTCTTCACAAAATGTCTAAAAATTAGGCCAGCGTATGATTTCCAGTTTATTTAGCAAGGAATATACTTTTTAAAAGTTATACTGGAACCAAACCTACCTCTGAATTCGATGTTTTCTGCATATAAAGGCAAAAATTCTTCTGATTCCCACCATCACAGGATCCCAATTATTGTAATGGCATAAGAGAGTCACAATAAAAAATGAAAAAAATACAGGGATAGCGCCTGCAAAAAATAACCATGAAAACTGCACCTAAAAATAAAAGAAAAACAAAAACAACCCACAATTATTATTAAGACAATTTTCTCCTTTAATGTAAGTTTTCCATTTATAAGAATCTGCAGGAATAAGTTAAAACACTGAGAATACTAAGCATTGACAGTATGTTATTATCAAATATGAGGATTCAGAACTTCAACGTATGATTCCACTTGCTTAAATTACCAAAATACGTCTTGCTTAGAAAAGGGCCTAAAGGAAAGCCAGAAGGCATGCTTTTCATTTATTAGGTGTAGTACATCCGAGAGCAGAATTACAAACGTTAAGCTTTGTCTTCCACATCACAATGCCCATTTTTTCTTTACTGATTACTGTTGACTCTCAAGTAGATCCTCCCCTTCAGTTTCTAAAGTCACCTTCAAAAACTCACATTTTTAAAAAATGTTACAATATGCTGTGATATGCTGTGATATGTTACAGTTCCTTCTTGAAGACAGCACCAAAAACAGATAAACTCTTAAGTGTAATTTTTGCAAACCTTTTATTAACAATTTGCAAAAAGAATTCTAATCCTGACTCTTAAAACTAGTTTGTTTCTGTAATAACATATGAAAAATTTCAAAAGGAAATCATGGCTAAGTAAAATAAAGACAACAAACAGGACTACTTAAGAAATGTGAGCCAGAGAAGACAAGCAGCAAGCAGAACCCCAGCGGTGAGGAGCCCCTCAGATATCATCAAAATCCATCATTTTATCAGGGTTCTCAAGAAAATTAAAAATAATGAGATGCCATAAAGTGAAGAAAAAAATCATTCTTTCCTTTCATGACTTTACCTTTACCATCTAGGTTCAGCAAAGATCAAAAACAATTGTCAAAGAAGGCTGCACAGATTGAGACTTACTGCAACCCACTGGTGTGATCTGCTTTCAAATAATGATGAAAATAGTAACTCCTATCTTTAAAATAGGAAAGAAAAACTGTTTTTGCCCTCTTTAAGTGTTAAAAAAAGTGAGGTTTAGAATCACAGGCAAGACTCCCTCTGGTGGGTGCTACTCCATTTCACAGCACCATTAGTCAGAGTAAAGGGGTTTTATGAGAATATTTTTATGAGGGACTCACAATGCCTAACACAGGAATAATCACTGACAACTTGTAACATGCATGTCCTGCCTGTATGATACACACACAGGCTGTCAGTCTAAGACCCAGGAAAGAGCAGTCAGTAAGAGAAACTAAACACCCTTCACATTGTTATCAAATTACGGGTATGACATATTCTTGGAATATTTGCCAGAATATAGATATAATCAAGAAAAGCCACAATGCACTTAAATGACCCAAGATCAGAAAAAGTATGAAAACTATGACTAATGAAAGTTAAAAATGCAGATATAGTTGATAAGAGTGGCTTCATGAATATTCAACTAAAACCCTATTTTATAACTGAGTAAAAGCAAACTTTGTAAAGGTAGGTAAAACCCTCCCTAGTTGACTGTTAAAGACAAAGTTCACCTGTAACAATGCAGTAATTTATGTTGCCACACAATAAAAAACGTCTAATTTGATTTCCAACAAGCTATGAAGACAATTTTTCAAAATGAAGACATTTATTAACAAAATATTATCTACATTACAAAAAATATCTAAAACCTGAATATATCTGAATATAAATCTGAATACAATCAGAGATGCTTCCTATTACACAAAATGTCAATTATATTAAATAGGTTAACATAATTTATTTTAGGCACGATAAAAGATATTGATAACTGCCGAAATTTCAGAAACTATATATAAATACAGTTAGCTATTAGAATCAAAAAACCCCATGAAAGTAGATTTCTCCTGTTTTTTTTTTTTTCCTCCTGGTTTATCTGAAAGAGAGAGACAGAGACAGAGAGAGCACGAGCAGAGGGGAGGAGCAGAGAGAAAGGGAGCTGAGCAGGGACGCCGACACCAGGCTGGATTCCAGGACCCCAGGATCATGACCTGAGCCAAAGGCAGCTGCTAAATTGACTGAGCCACCCAGGTGCCCCTCTCCTGTTTCTATTACAGCTCTGGGGCACACCCTGTCACTTTTCCCAGAAGGTATCTTCCTACCCTCAATTCCCACCCACCAAAGGCCCACGCCCAACTCATTTAACTGGTTGTCTAATTCTAGATGTGAAGACAATCGAGAAAGGCCTAGTTATGTTTTTGTAATTATTCAATCAATCATTTACTTATTTTCATTTTCCCTTTTCTTGTGTTTTGCCCTATCTTAAAATATTTGATTAAACAAATTACATAATCATTTAACAAAATTAGATCCCGTGACAGTTCTTTTAAAAAAAAAATCCTAAAATTAACTTTCAATTTTTATTTTTCAAATCTGCAAAAGCTGATGTTTTCAAAATATAGTACAGAAAAATTCATTTACATAGCAGTCTACCAAAATCCTCTAACAACAACACTTTCCCAGTTTCACTAGAGCAAGTTTGATTGATATTCAAGATCCTGAGATGTGGGAGGACCTGAATATTATTCAAATCTGTAAAGAATCTAATGATGTGTAACTTTAGTGTTTTGTACATTTTATAATATTCACATTCTTTGAAAATGTATGGTACATAAGAAAATTCTCAATTAAGGAGAAGCTGTTTTTAACTATGACAAATAAGTAAGAATTTACTGAGCCATGAAACAAAGTAAATACCAGCACAGAACTGTTTTTTAAGTAAAGAGAATACATATCACTTAGAGTATTTTGCCTTTAGCCTAAGAACTGCACAAAGATCTAAAGAAAAATCGCTTTAAAAATCTGATTATAACTTCTACATATTTTAAGCCTTTGGGCTTTCAAGTATTTCCTCTTCAAAATTTTATTAAACCAAACCACACACACACATACACACACATACCATTTTGTTACTTAATACTTGGAAGTTCAGGGGAACCTGGGTGGGTCAGTCAGTTAAGCATCCGACTCTTGATTTTGGCTCAGATCATGATCTCAAGGTTGTGTCACTGAGCTCCGTGTTGAGATCAAACCCTGTGTCAGGCTCCAGCTGGGCATGGAGCCTGCTTAAGATTCTCTCTCTCTCCCTCTGCCCCTCCCTGCTCGTACTATTTCTCTCTCTTAAAAAACAAAACAAAACAAAACCTCAAAAAAAAAGTCTGTAAACTTTGAACTGAGTGATAAATGACTACATCTTTTAGTACTGTATATATGGGATGCCTCTTTTCTCTGTTAACCCCCAGAAGCACTAAAGAAACTCCTCCCTTCATGCTGGGGGGAGGGATTCTCTTTTCTGTGATGTTATCACTGCCAATGTTTATCATAAAAATCCCTGCATCCTTGGGGCACCTGGGTGGCTCAGTCGTTAAGCGTCTGCCTTCGGCTCGTCCTGGGATCGAGCCCTGCATCGGGCTCCCTGCTGTGCGGGAAGTCTGCTTCTCCCTCTCCCACTCCCCCTGCTTGTGTTCCTTCTCGTGCTGTCTCTCTTTCTGTCAAATAAATAAATAAAATCTTTAAAAAAAAAAAAATCCCTGCATCCAGACCAGGACATCATAGAAGAGGGACAGAGCACCTGCCCTCCTAAGTCCAGACAGAAATGAGCATTTGCTGAGAAATATTCCTATGTTGCTCATATCTATAACAGTATCACAGTATTAAGGAATCTTTGGAATTTATCCTAGAAATCAAAACACTACTACTTAAATAATAAAATATATCCCATCCCCTATTCTATACCACTGACTTACCAATGAAATATGGAATAATCAGCTCCAAAACTGGAGAACTACATATAAAGATACTGTCCTTAACTTAGAAATTAAGAAAAAAAAAAAGAAAAGTTAAAAATGTAAGAGATTATTTGTTTCTTTGGTACTTTTTATATATCTACATAGTAAAGCACCTTAGAGAGGCAGAGCAGGCATCAACTATTATTCATGGTTGTACTGCTTATAATTTAATCACATGCCCTAACTTTCATTATCTCCATTTTAAAAATTCATCTAAAATAGGGGTGGCCTGGGTGACTCAGCTGGTTAAGTGTCTGAGTTTTGATTTCAGCTCAGGTCATGTCGTCAGTGTCATGAGATCAAGTCCCACATGGGGCTCCACTCTCAGCAGGGAGTCTGCTTGAGATCTTCTCTCTCTCCCTCTGCCCCTCCCCCCACTCATGCTCTCTTGCGCATGCTCTCTCAAAAAAAATTTATCTGAAATATCTAATAAACAGTTTGCCTTACCTTTTGCATACACATGTCAGCTATTATGGATAGAGGTATTGTAAGGCTTAGTGCAAGTGTGCCTATCAATGATGAGGTAAGAAAGCAGCCCCTAAAAAGGAAAAAAAGAAAATATACATTTCCATATTAAAAAAGTAAAGCAATCAAAGAAAATATAGGCATGAAAGATCAGGAGTAAAGACAAAAGCTTAGGACAGACTGAGACACAATAAAGCAACTAGGATGATTCTTAAAGTTTACCTTCAAATATTAAAAATCCAAATATATAAGAGTAAAATTGTCCAAGTACTTTGTGTATATATATATATATATATATACACACACACACACACTTACGCTATTTTCAAGATATGCTTATAGATATTAATCAACTTCAGATGTACAGCTTCTATTTCATTAACATTTTTTATAAAACTGTCAAAAGAGTTCTTAAAGTTTTGTGATGATACTTAACTAACAAAGAAAATAGCTTTATTTAACTGCAGGACAATACTTCACAACATAGACTTTGAAGAAAGTGATAAGCCACCTTACGAGTCTGTCACCAAAGCAAAAATATCTCACCCTCATAAAAACTAAAAGAGTCTTCAGATCTGTGTTGCTCCTCTGGTTTGGCTTAGCACTGAAAAGAACTGAAAATGTTTTAAGGATACTCCTTGTTGCTTTCCTTTTTTCTAGCAATTGTCCTAACCAAAACCTAAGTTCTTCATTTTATGTTCACCTTGAACTATCAATGTTGGTATCAAATTTTGAAATATCATTCTGCACATAATTTTATGTAGTTGAAGGAAAAAAATGAAAGGAAGCATTATACCAAATAGATAAGCCATTTATACAGACTAATAATTTGAGTGTATAAAAAGAAAAAAGGGGTGCCTGGCTGGCTCAGTCAGTAGAGCATGACACTCTTGTTCTCAGGGTCATGAGTTTGAGCCCCACACTACAGGCAGAGGAAGGAAGGAAAGAAAGAAGGAAGGAAGGGAGGGAGGGAGGGAGGGAGGAAGGGAGGGAGTGAGGGAAGGAGGAAGGAAAGAAGGAAGGAAGGAAAGAAATTATAAAGCCAAGATAAAACCAAAGTGTATATAATTAGGACTACAGACCCATGGAAATTCTAGACTAGTAAATTCTAGCTCGGTGTATGATAGAATTAATACTGTCCTGCAATAAAAGAGCCTATCTCTCGATGAAGTGTCACTCAACATATCCAACAGAGGCTGTACCATTAGTTCTTATCAGTGCAGTAAAGAGAACTCAAGCGCTAGTGGTTCCTACTACATGAGCTGCTCTGTGAAAAGACATTCAGGAGGTCAAATTTTTTTTTTTTTAATGTGGCGTATGTTCTTAGAGATTTATAACACAAAGTACAATCATGAAGAGTCTGAAACAAAGTATTAAGAAGAAAACTGTTTGACTTACACCAGCTTTTCCCAATTTAGTTGATGGTTGAATCCTTTTGTCATCTATTATTTCAGGGACACATTTTAGGAAATGCTGAGACAGAGAACTAGGTGCTATCATTCAACATCTATACAAATGGTACAGTATATGGGTTTAATAGTGCACCTCAATTTTTTTTAAATAAACAATGAGTGACAACTACACATCTTTAATTTACAAAAAAAGCTCACAACCACACTTTGAAATCTGTAGCTTACTACTCAGCACTTGGATTATGTATGTTTCCTGTACTTTTTATAGTTAAACATACGATAGCCCTGATTCCCCCCCCGCAAAAAAAGGGAATCGTCCTACATGCAGATTATAGCTTCTGATTTAAATGTGTATTTTCTTATGATTTAAAAATATGTAAAATATATAGAGATATGCTTCTTACACTTGTTTTGTTGCCAAGAACACCCAGAATTTAAGGGATATATTTGTTTCATTACTGACTGATTTACTGCTAATGAGCTGTCACCATTAGTACTCTTAATCACTTGAGTGTCAAAGTATATCTGAAAAATAAACCTTCTTGAGGTCCTGAAAAATCCATCCTAGGTAAGGATAAACATAGCTTTTATCATAATATAGGACTACGAGTGTCCAATTTAACTATTCTACAATACATACTCATATACACAGTTGGGAATATAAGTTGTGTTCCCTCCATGGGGAATGATACTGCAATTCTCTATCAAAATGTAAAGTCCTTATGATGGACTCTGTAGGCATTTAACCTACAGAACACTTACATATACATGCAAAGATATATAGGAGGATATTCAATGTTATTTTATTTACAAAGCAAAGAACTGGAAACTTAAAATGTCTATCAATAAGGAATGGGTAAAACACATTATGTTCTACCCAGTATGTCATATAATGGATTGGAACATAATATACCAGAACACTACACAGGCTTTAAAAAATGAATTGAACCTAAGTGCTGATATGTAAAGATTTACAAAACAATCAGGGAAAAAAAGCAAGTACAAAACAATATCCATAGTATGTTCCCATTTGTGTGTTAAAAATAAGACAAATTGGGGATGGATTAGGAGACTGATACACACTTCTGCATGTATAGAAAATTTTGTAGAAGGTTTAGAAGTTAATAATGGTTGCCTCTGGGAAAAAGGAACGGAGATTTAAAGTGAAAGAGAGGTAAGACTTCCTTTTCATTGTATACCCTTTTGTATACTTTTGTATATATTATTCTTTTCATTCTAAAAAAATTAAATTAAAAAAATTCCAAAACATGTTATTACTTATTTAAATGTAAAGTTTTCCAAGGGAGCAAACTAAAAAAGCTCACATAGAGAGATTACATGTCACAACTCCTACTTGATCATCCCCTAAAGCCTACATTAAATTTTGCTAAACATAATAAAACTCTCTACTGTATATGTTTAATTAAAACTGTAGCTCTCAATAAAGAATGAGCATTTTAATATTTGTAGTGACACAGTCCCGGTTTACTATGAGTCTTTTTTTTTTTTTAATTTTATTTATTTATTTGACAGAGAGAGACACAGCGAGAGAGGGAACACAAGCAGGGGGAGTGGGAGAGGGAGAAGCAGGCTCCCCGCAGAGCAGGGAGCCCAATGCGGGACTCGATCCCAGGACCCTGGGATCATGACCTGAGCTGAAGGCAGTCGCTTAACCAACTGAGCCACCCAGGCGCCCTACTATGAGTCTTAATGTCATAAGCATCATACTAAACCTTTCTCTAGTCTAACATCCAAAGAAAAATTTAATAATTGCTTTCAAATATATTAATTTGCTTTGAAACTGTCTAATTTAAACTAAAGGTCCTAGAAAACATGAACCTGTATTAAAATACAGTGAGTACATAATTGTCGTAAAAAATGGTTGAGTATCAACAATCCCTCATGATTCAACAGAGTTCAATCAAAAAACTACCGGTAAGTAGTTCTATCTGTTCAGAACCAAGAGTAGAGAGAGGCAAGAGAAATAAGAGAAAATGAATACCAGAATTGATAGTAAAGAAGCAATAGGATGAGAGAGAGTATATGATATATATTAATAAGAAAATAAAATATGTAACTTTGCTTAAAAAAACCGAGCACCTAATATATAATGAAAGATGGAAGAATGAATGAGTAAATGGATTCTGATATCAAAGAGTTTTAGATCAGCAAAGGAATTTAAGAACATAAATTAACTACAAAATAAAGTATATCTTTAAGTACTACATGAAAGGGAGTAAGTGTGGAAGAATATCAAGAAAACAGAGAAATTTCCTTAATTGAGGAGGGGGAAAAGTACAGGTAGAGCATTAAGGAAGTCTTCATGGAAAAGGCTACTCAGTCTTTTGCAAGGGAAAACTAGTCAGTAGTCTTAATTGGCATATCATAAAATCCATTTAGGAGTTTAAGTACAATTTGCGGGGTTTTTTTTCGGTTCCTGTTAGATAGAAAGATGACTAAGTATCAAGCTCTGTATTTGAAAGATTTCTTAAATTCCATACATGATATTGTCTTCAAACTATTTTAGGGTCATTATCACATATCCACATATTTGATATAACATTTCAAAGCATGTTAACATCTCAAATTAATCAGGGTTTAGGGTTACATATCTGGCTCACTAATATGAAAAATCCTAAGAATAAATAAAACAAAAAAAAGTCTATGAACAACCAAACATTCCAAAGTCTCTTAAGTTCCCTAGATTCTCACTCAGAACTCATGTTATTCCTATTTAGAATATAAACCTCCATTAGATAATGACACCTTTCATTTATATAACATTCTACTTTTAAAACACTTCTACAATTTAAGATCATTTATATGCATCCATTCATTCAAATATTTATTCAACAAATACTTATTGAGCTCCTTCTATGTGTAAGGTATTAGTCTATACAATCAGTGCACAGAAGTTAAAACACAAAGTTCCTGCTCTAGTGGAGTTACTTTCTTAAAATAGTGTGAAGTGTGTGTGTGGGGGGAGGGGCACAGAAGGAGTCATCAGAAGACAGAAGAAATATAAACACTTTAACTATCCAAAAGTCCATGAACTGGTATCTAATAAATCATAGGGTAATAAACAGTACATACCACAACCACAGGAACTCTGAGAGAACTGTTCCAATAAGGCCATTAATGATAATGCACATCAATACTACTTTATTGGGAAACTCAAAGTCCTCAAATCCAGTATAATGAAGTAAAAAGAAACCTGGCCATAAGAGCAGCAGATTAAACAGACCTACAAAACCTAAATATGTATAAAAGAGACAACAGTTAGTAACTGAGATTTAAATTTTTCAAACTTATAACTCTATAATTAGAAAACATTAGATCTTGCACAAAGGGTTCCAACAGGTTTCCTTAACTGGAACTTGGGTTTCTTTCAGTCAGACGTATAGATAGCTCAACAGAAAAAACTGTACTAGCAACTGGTGGTCACTGAGTCTTCAAGGTTCCACTATTCACACTGCATGGAGCAACTACTATGGAATAAACCACTTAATTCAAAAAGAAAGGTTGTTAACCTTAGCTAGTAATAAGTTAGTGTCTTTAAACTTTAAGAAATAACTGGTATATCTGTGTGTATGGATATGCAGCCTAAATTAATTATGAGGAAGTAGAGAGTCTGCTCTCTGATTCAACTCATATTTATGTTTAAAGCGCCTGTGGTATTGCTGGGAATAATGGAGGAAGTTTCCAAACCAGATACATTCTTGGTTCTTGCCTTCCAAGCGCTCATAAGCTAACTGGTGAGATAACATACATACACAAATAGCTCCTCAACATAGGAACTAAGTGCAGACTGACTATCTGTAAAGGAAGGCTGTAACATTTAGTGGTCAAAAGTGTGTGCTCTGCAGTCTGACTGCCCTGAGTTCCAATCCCAGCTCCACCATTCACTAGTACTGTAAATCTTATACAAGATGCGAAACCTCTTTTAAGCCTCAATTTTCCAATCCATAACTGTAAAATCATATTTAAATAGATTACTTGGAAAATAGATGAAACACTTATAAAATATAGCACAGTACCTGGCATAAAAAGTTAGTAAAGATAAGCTGCTATTATTATTAAAGAAATATAAGGTTACATATTACTAAGTGAATACAAAGACTACAAAGGAAAAATTTACAATTTTATAGTAATTTTTATTGCACTTCCTATACAGTTGAACATCACAGATCCATTAGGTAACTATAGAGCTTTCTTAAGAGAAAGTTAAATTACAGTAAATACATATTTTATATTTGTCGCTAAATAATAAACTAGAATTTAGGATGCCTAGTTAAATCTTAATAGGATTAGAGCATCCACTCCCTATCTGCTGCTGAAGACTTATAGCCAGCCACCCACCGTCTCTGAAGAACTGTCTTGGAGAGCAAACAAGCTTGCCTTTCCCATGAAGTTCCCACCCTCTACAGCCCACGACTAACCCATGAAGGATGCACAAGGCCACTCTCATGGCTGAAATCCTAATGGCTCAAGGCCAGAAGGTCTCTGAGGGGTACCTAGACATTACCTGCTCCTTCACCAGCCCCCTCCACCTCCTGCTCCTGACATGCCATGAACTGGGCCAAACCTCAATTATACATGAGCCCACATGGTTCTTTCCCCTTCTCTATCCTGCTTTTCTTACTCCCTTGTCAGTATTCCCTGCAGATTGCCCCTCAATAAATCACCCATAAGAAATCCCTGTCTCGTATCCTGCTTCTGGGATACCCAATTTAAGACATCTAGTGATAAAAATAAAAACAAATAAAATGACACATACAAAAGGGACTCATGACCTGAAAAGCTTACACAACAATAAAAAGTTGTAATTAAAACACCAAAATTTAGGGGGGCGCCTGGGTGGCTCAGTCGTTAAGCGTCTGCCTTCGGCTCAGGCCATGATCCCAGGGTCCTGGGATCAAGTCCCACATCGGGCTCCCTGCTCGGCGGGAAGCCTGCTTCTCCTTCTCCCACTCCCCCTGCTTGTGTTCCTGCTCTCGCTGTCTCTCTGTCAAATAAATAAAATCTTTAAAAAAAAAAAACACACCAAAATTTGGCATTACCAAAAACCAAATCTAGTTTGGGGTCCCTGGACTATATCAAGTCTATGGAATCCCACATAAATTAACAACCTTTGGACCTAAAGACAAAGGTCCCAATTGCTTCCACCTATTCTCCAGATCCTTCAGAATCTGGCCTGCATATCCTCCTGTTCTTCCTTAAAGTAAGCCTCCAGTCCGATCACGTAGATCTACACACTGTTCCCTGTTATGCTCTGCTCTATCCCCATGCCTAAAGAACCCTCCACAACCCAATCCTAACTTCTTTTCTAGTCCTGCCTATTGTAAAGCGCACATCAAATCAATACTGTCTTACATTATATATGACGAAGACCAATCAAGTTACATGTCTGTGTGTACTGTAGTAACAGTAAATTGAACAATTTTTCCTGAAAACTGCCAATCTTAAAAAAAAAAACTCAAAAAATATTAGCATTTCATTCCATTCCAAGTGGAATTTCCTATGACTCTAAAATAAGACATCACTAAAATTACCTTCATATTTAAGTTATATTAATTGAACTCCATACTTAAACTTGAGTGATCACTTGGTCTGGTAGCTTTCCAAATGTTTTGTTTCTGTTAATCTTTAAGTGAAGATATTCAAACTTTTTTTTAGTAGAAAAATCTTTTCTACAAATTATAATGCAAAAGCCCCACAAAACAGAGCTGTTCCAGCTGAAGCAGGCAAGGACTCCAAGAACCAGAACCACGCATGCAACTCCACCTCTTCCCACCCCTCCCAGGATCCTCTGCAAATCAGTTTGAAAGCTACTCATCTAGTCCAATTTGCTCATTTTGCAGATGAGTGTGAAATCAATGAAATTAGAACAGCCATATTCCTGGTCTCCTGATTCCCTATTAGCTGCACTTTGAACTTTCATCACCATGCTTTTTTATCTATTGATACTCAGGTATCTTTTGGAAGACATCTACAGATATCCAACAGAGAGCACAAGTTGTTTACTGAGCTGATATCAGGCAAGGAAGAGCTTATAAATCGTATTAGGTATTTTATTTACCAAAATTAAGAACTGATGCCAGAAACTACAATTGGGTAATCTGAAAATCTATATAAGAGTCTATATCTTAAATGCAAATGGAAAGCCTTTAAATGGCCCATGAGTTTTAATGAACAGTATACAGACTAGAAAAGTATTATACATATCATTTGGGAGCAGTTTCTCCAATCCTATGCTTCTAACAATTCAAAAATAGCAAAACGTGTAATACAACAGGTATACTCTCAATGCTTATAATAGCATAATTCTATCATATCAATGAAGAAAATATCTGATTCACAGGCTAAAGACATGAATGCAAAAAAGGCACTAGGAGGAATTTCTTTCTTTACCTCACACTGAGGAAACCAGCATTCCTTCAGAGGTACACAATCATGCAGGGCAAGGTATGAGAAAAACAGAGACTGGACTTCATAATCTCTAAAATCTGACAGTTTTAAAGAATCATAAGGAGAAGGAGAGAAAGGCTTCCTTATTCCCTCCAAAAACAAAACCCTAAGTTAATCATTCAAAGAAAGTGGCCTCACAGGTAAATATATTCTTACCAAAGAACATTGGAATATCCAACTTATCTTCTCTGTCTACTTTTCTCTTAATCATAACAATATAGACAGCATAGAGCATGGCTCCAACAAGAGACCAGATGGAACCTGTAAAAATCAACATGAGTTAACTCATTTGTTCATTAACTCATTCAATACACACTTATTTAAAATCTATGTGTCAGATGTGACTTCAAGAAGTACACAAATATGAAAAGATAAAAGTAGATCCCACCCCTTCCCATGTCCTCCAGGAGTATAGGAAGAAACGAGTGAACAAACCCATGCAAAAACATCCAATGATCTAGCCAAACATGCATGTTATAATATTACAACTCATATAAGTAACACTTCGGCTTTTAATTTTGAAATGCTACTTCATATTTTCCCCTACATAAACAATTTGGCACCTGACACTGTCCGGCATAACAGTGTTTCTTTCCATCTCTAAGCCATTGCTTATACAGTCCTCCCCACTGTAACCTATCATCTTTATTATATATTCCACTACCATCTCCAAGGCCCAGTTAAAGTTCCGCCTTCTGCCACAAAGCATCCCCTTCCTCCTCCACTGAATTTCCATCCTCCTTGTCTTCTATTTTAGACCATTTAATACTTACATGGTTAATTATAGTATTATTTATTCTCTAGTGGTTTCATTTTGTAAATCTCATATAATGATTAAAATCAAGAACTCCTTGAAAACTGCAAACACATTACTTTTTAATGTTCTAAAATATCTAACATAATACAGGGTTTGTAGTATAGGCATAATAAATACTGGTTCTCTTAATGTATTAACTCATTCTCAAAAACATTTCAGTAAGCCTTTAAAAACAGCTGAATTAATGTGCCGTCTGCCAAGTGACCATATTCAATATTTATTATCCAAAAGTCCAATGTTTTATTAAATCTATTTTAAAAAATTATTCTAAAACATTTTCAAAAAACAGAAAGCCTACCAATAAATTCTCACACATACACAACAAATACATGTTTTGTTTTACATATAACAAGCTGCTCTGGGTGAGAAAGAGGTGATATAGTTCAAGGCATGGCTCACTGGGCAGTGACAAGGGATGGTTTAGAAAGCACCTTTCCATTCAATGAACTTGAAATATCTAAACGAAGTATCCAGAGGGAAGCCATTAAGCTGGGTTCCCTGATTATGTTTGTTATTGTTTAATTTAAACAATGGATCAAAACTGAATGTTCACCATAACAGTAAATGTTTCAGGTAAGAAACATGAGTGAATCACAAAATTAGTGGGTGCAAGTATAACAGAAACAGGGTATTTGTATAGTCTCAAAGTATCTCCCCACAAGATGCTTATTACTTACAAAGAAAAAAGTTAGTAACTTTACACTGGAGCAACCTGGCAGACACCACCTTAAAATTAACTAGTCACTAGTAACGGGACAATACCATGTGCCTTCTGATATGATGTGTTGATCAGAACACTTCTAATATTACTTCCATGGCATTCTTACCAAAAATACACAGCATAAATTTTACCATAAGGAAGTATCAAACAAACCAAAAGTGAGGAACATGCCACAAAACAACCGTATCCTTCAAAAGTGTTAAGGGTAAAAGACCAACAACAACTACAAAAAAAGACTGAGGGACAGCTCCAGATTAAAGGAAACTAAGGAGATGAAAACTAAAGGCAACAAGTGATGCTGCACCAGAAAAAGAACACTAGTGGGAAAAATTGTGGATGTGAAAAGGATATACATACAGACTAGATAATTTAATCATAATCAATGTTGGGGTGCCTGGGTAGCTTAGTCGGTTAAATGGTGACTCGATTTCGGCTCAGGTCAGGATCTTAGGGTTGTGAAACTGAGCCCACAATCAGGCTCAGCACTGGGCATGGAGCCTGTCTAAGATTCTCTCCCTCCCTCTCCCTCTGTCCCTCCCCGGGCCCTATCTCTCTCCCTCTCTAAAAAAATATATGTATGTATCTATATTATAATCAGTGTTAATTCCTGACTTATAACCACACTGCAGTTATGTACATAGTTCGCAGAGAATCTGAGTGAAGGTTATATGAGAATTCTGTGAACTATTTTTGAAATTTTTTACATTATTTCCAGAGGAAAAGTTAAAAAAAGACCCCATTAGTGCCCACCCTCTGTGTGTGCACACACATGCACACTCGCACACAAGGACACAAATAATGACATGCACAAAACTTTCTTGTATACTCTTAACAGAAAGAATGCAGAGACACATACTTACCTATTGTATCTCTTCCAGCAGATTTTTCAGACCCTGACAAGTTCACCAGCACAACACCTCCAATGCTATGGGAATAATAGGATTACTGATGAGCAAAACAATAAACTCCTTAAAAAGGGCTAATAATAAAGATAAAAATTATTTACAAGTGATCTAGACTACTCTCAAAACTGGGGAAAACTACAATTCCCAAAGAATTTAGTGATTTAATTAATATTTAACAGTATTAATGGGACAGTATAAGTGCTATACTTGTATTCATTTCTCACAAAAGGTACAAATTACCTTATGATAAAGGTATTATTGCTACTACCATTGCCATTTTACACCTGAGAAAACTAATACACAAACATACAAAGTAACTTGACCAAAATCACATAGCTGGGACTGAAACTTTGCCAGTCTGCGTCTCGGTAAGTATTTTTACCTCCTATGCTACCTACTGCTTTTCAGTTAAGGAAGTAACCAACTTGTCAGCCCTCTTCCAAACTTTTTTTTTGAAGATACATATGGTATATCCATACACACCTAGCAAGAGCACTAACTCTTGCCTACCGATAAAACCTAAATTTAAGCAATAAAACTCTCCTTAAATGTTTAAATGATTAAATTAATTAATTAATGGATGAAAAAAGACTGAATTAAAGATGTAGAGAAATCAGAGTATCATTCACTCAACTGTTATTTATTGAAAAAAAATTTTTTAAGTTATTATTTATTGAGCTAAGCACTGTGTTACAGCTGCAAACAAAACAGATGTGGTTCCTGTTCTCAGGGAGCTTACGCTATTTCTATGCATCTTGTAATTGTACATATTTTTAAAGCAGATAAAATAGTGTTAATTTTTTTAGAAGCCAGTCTAATTCTTTCACCTACTGATCCAAAAAACTAAGTGACACAGGAGAAGAATATGAAAAAAAATTTTTTTACCTTATGGAATTATATCATCATAAGTCAAATCTAGTCCTTACATTAAGTATTCATGCCTCTCAATTAAATATTATAATTTTCTGTTAAGCAATCATTATTTAAATTCAGCTATTATTTATTGAGCACCCACAACATGCCAGAAACTAGAGGTTTCAATACCATTTAGATCATAATAATCACAATAACTAAATATATTGAGCACCTATTATACACCAGACACTGTTCCAAGCACTTTTAAAGTTTTAACACATTTAATCCTCACAAGAATCCTTTGAGACAAATCTCACTAGTATTCCCAACTTACAGGTGAGGAAACTGTGACACAGAGAGGCAAGAAATTTGCCCCAAATTGCAAAACTAGTAATGATGGAGGCAAGATTGAATTCCAGGTAGTTTAGATGGAGAGTAAGTACCCTCTTTGTCTCTTGAAGTGAGACTTTTTAACTTTTAAGAAGATTTCCTTCAAGATTGTTGCTATGTCAAATTCTTTTTATACCTCAGAAACTGAATCTCATAGTATAAGGCTATTTCAAAACAAAGTATAAAACAATGTTCAAGAAGGTATTAAGAACATGTAATAAATACACAAAAAAATTCTAAGTAATAATTTTTCTAGACCATAGGTCAAGCAAACTTCCTTAAAGGAACAAATAGTAAGTATTTTAGGCTTGCAGACCATATAGTCTCTGTTGCAACTGAACTGTCATTATGGTGCTTAAGTAGCCATAGATAATATACTAACAAGTGAGAGTGGCTATATTCCAATAAAACTTTAAAAAATTAGGAAGCTAGCTCATCTTAGTCCACTGACCCCTGTTCTAGATCTACTTTAATGAACTCTGTCAAAATATTTACAAGTTCAACATTTTATAACTATTTCCTTCTCTTTCAAAACTTTATTAATATAGTACAAAGTTAAAAATTTGCATGAATTTTGAACAAAGTTGAATAAAATCTCATTTACTTCCCCAATACAAATATGTTTCCCCAATATAAAAATATGTTTGGCTAAAACAATTAGTCAATCATGCAATATAATAAACTTCTAGTGGTCATAAAATCTAAATAGTAAATTAGTTGGTCAACCGGCCTACATCTGGAAACTACCATGGTTATATCTATAAAGGAAAAACACATCATAATAAGAGTACCTCAGTCCCCATGATAATCATTTTTAATATACATTCCCTCCAAACTTTAAAACAAGGCTGGAAAGTAGATACTATCATTATTTTCTCACCTAAAAACCCCTCTCAGAGAGTTTAAGGGAACTGACAGAAACAAAGAACAAAGCTCTGATTCAAACCCAGTTCTGACAGCTAAGAAACATTATTCTCTCCATTAAATCATTCTACTACCTTCTCTGATTTCTGATTTTTTCTCAGTAAAAACAACAGCTTTATCAAACCGACACAACTTTTTTGGGTATTGTTGGTAAGCAAAGCCCTAGGCTAGACTGTTGGTGGCACAAATAAGTATAAAACAAGGCCCTGGCGTTTAAAGGTTTATAATCCACAGAAAAGACATGACAAACATACACAAAGTTATATAAAAATAAAAGACTTAAATACAGTTGTTGACCATACTGATGTTATACAGTAATGCAAAGTTGCCGAATGATTTATACAGAAAATAACTGAAAGATCACTTGAGGCTGAGCCAATCAGAGAAGACTGCATGTCTGACGTCCAGAAGTAGAAGTAAAACCCAAAACCAAAACAAAAAAGGGAACTTGTTTTAGGAAAAGGAAATAGGAACTTGGAGGTAATGAGGATTAAGTTGCCACATTAAGTTAAATGTAAGCATCAGTACAATACATAGTATTATACCGTCTGTCCTCCCATGAATGGGAGCCAAAGCTGCCTTGGGATCCTTCCAGTTACTCTCCCCAGGAACATTTAGAAAACTAGTTAAGGATGTGACACAGGCTGAGTAGCATGCTGTCCATATAAAACCTTTTTTTATCCTCATCTTTCTCTACCTATACAGTATACTATAATATAAACTATCTTATATCACTACCAGAAAAATTTTAAACATATTTTTAAACAGAATTAACTAGCTATTATGCTATATTCTTACCTTAAAATTACAGCTAATAGTTTAGAAAGAGTAAATCTATCTCCACTGTTACTTGGAAACATTGCAGCAAGAATTAAGGTAAAAAGTCCTATAAGGAAAAAAGATACATCAGTTTAAAACAGCCTTTAAACTAAAACCATGCTTATTTTAACAATACAGATTAAGTATAGCCCCGTTTACTTTAAACTAGTAAGACAGTGAAATTGAGCACTCAGAATAACATTATGACCTCATCATAATCAAGCATGTGTGCTCAAGTTGTTTTTATAGCTTCAAAAATATTTTTCCTCTCCCAGATTTGGAAGGTGATTCAATATTAAAATAAATTATCTTTCATAGGGTAAATTATGGTTCTGAAATAAGCAATTACATTTAGCCAAAGGGTCTAGAAAAAGATCTTCAGAAAGAATGTGAAATGAATGATTATAATACAAAGAACCAGCCTATAAAACCTTAATATGTTGTTATATAAAAATATACCATAAAATAATCAAAGGAATATAAATAGCACAACGCCACAGCATAAAACTACAAATATGATGTAGTTACAATACACTAACGTATATTAGAATGAATGTAATAATTTGTAATAAGATAAAAATGTATGCATATATGTGTGTATATATATACGTGTGTGTGTGTGTGTGTGTGTATATATATATATACATATATAAAAGAAAAATAGATTTCAATTTATAATGTAGATTTTGAAGACAAATTTCTTACCAGAAGTTGAGGACAAAATATTAACTATAGCAACTTGTGTGTCTGAAAGTGCTTCTTGATATGACAAATTTGCCAGAAACCACTAAAGACAAAGAAAACAAAGTGAAACCTAATGAATGACCTGCTTAAATCTGTCATAATTTATAGGCCCCTCCTTTCCCCCCCCTAAATATTTTATCATAAGAGCTTTTAAAAGTTGCTTTCTATTGAAAAATCACAGACCTAAAAAGAGGGCATTTATAATTAGATCTAAGATCTTTGCTATTCAATTTCCCTTAAGAAATTAACAACAGTTGGTTAAAATTAGCATTCAGTTTTTTAAAAAATGAGAGTAAGACTGCATACCAAATCAACTTTAAAATTTGCTTTATCCAAACATTTCTAGCATTCTATTAAAGTTTATCTAAACCAAATTTAAATTTGGGGAAATTCTCAAATATTAAAATATGTACAGATGAACATTGCATGATGAGAAATCTATTGAACAAGATCATACCTGTGGGGATGGATCAAAATAACAAGCTCTAAAAGGACATAACTGTTTTGGAAATTTAAAAATGTCCAATGAAAAATGTGAATTTGCTGGCTAATTATGATTGTTTCTCTGATTCTCAGTTTGGAGACATAATACAGAGTTCTCATAACTGGATATAATTAAGGGAAGTTTTCCAATTGTAAGGATTTTTTTTCTTTTCTTTTGCTCATCTAGGCTAGGACATTCTTATATTCTCAATACTGTGCCTAATACGATTTAATGAAAAAGAAATAATACCTCTTTCTGATGAAGCCTGATGTGTGTATGTGTATGAGAGGGGTTCCAAAATCCATATATTTTCACTGCTATCAGATATTCTAATACATATTACCACAACTCATCCATTTTTCTGTTGATGGATCCTTTTGGACTATTTCAAACAATGCTACTATGAACCTTTTACTGCATGTCCCCTGGTGTATATGTGCATGAGTGTCACTAATATATACACTAAGAAGCAGACTGCTGGCTCAATCAAAGTAAATTAACTGCTTATCTAACTGTTTTTGGCATCACTGTTACTTAAACATATTCATATTCCACTGAAGAATAGGGACAGGGACTTAAGACAGGGACATCTCTTGATCTCTCTCAGAACTTGTAGTTAAGTGAGTACTATAATTAGCATTTACACTTCAACGAAGCAACAAAGACATATGATCTTAGAGCACTGCTAGAAGATAGCAGATAACTGAGTTTATTAGACTCCATTTAGTCTACACTGTACCCAAGATGAAAGCCAGAGTAGAACTAGGGCAAAGTGATTTTGACGCCATCTGTAGTCCTCCAACTTCCTAGATAATTTCACTGGACTTTCTAAACAAGAAAATGAGGTAGCAACTGCTAAGATGAGCAATATCAAACATATATGAAGTACTAGAAAAAGAAGAATATTCTGCTCTTAATTATCTTTTGGAGATCTATCTACAAGACCAGACAATACTTATAGGGTGATAATTAGCTTTCTTGACCCATTTTCCTTACCACTTTAACACATAAATACTGTGCTCATTTTCCAAACAATCTCCACTGGTCTCTGCTAATGCACAATAAAGAAATAAAGACAGATCGTTCAGGTAGCAGCCACTCAAAAATCCTAAGAAATCATCATTAGCTAGAAACTCTTTCTAGAAAGACCTTCCTATTCTACACCTCTCCCCATTCTCTGGTTCCCAAACCCAAGGCACTCTCATTACAAAAGAAGACCTATCTAAATTACCTTCCAATAAAAATTAACCTTACAATGTTTCCCTTCATTATTCCACAGTTGAGGACAACCACTTACTAATAAATGATCTATCACAAATAATTTATATATTTCATTATTTCATGAGTGGTAAGTTATTTTTAAATTATCATGAAAAATATTCTAGGTAAACACTATATGACCTAAATTATATTCTACAGAGAAAAATTAAAATACTGTAAGCGCTAATGAGACAAAAGATATTCAAGGAGGACTGGCAAATACAGGAATTATTAACTCCCTCTGCCCTGCACTGTACAATACACTAGCCACTAGCCACATGTAGCTACTGAAGAACTGAAATGTGACTAGTCTGAATTGAAATGTTTAGCAACTAAAACTGAAATAAAAACTGAAATTGAAATGAAATGGAAACTAAAACAAAATAAAATGCTTAGAATATTTGGTACTAAAAAATATAAACTACCTCATCAATAATTTTTATATTGATAACATATCAAAATATTTTACATATAGTGGGTTAAATAAAAACACAGTATTAAAATTAATTTCACTTGTTTCTCCTGATTTATTTTAAAAATTTTAAAAATGTAATTAAAAGTTTTTTTCTAATTGTAGAAAATTAAAAAATACATGTGACACCTGCATTTGAGGCTCATATTTCTATTGAACAGTACTGTTCTTTTTTTTTTTTTTTAAAGATTTTATTTATTCATAAGAGACAGAGAGAGAGAGGCAGAGGGAGAAGCAGGCTCCCCACTGAGCAGGGAGCCCGATGCGGGACTCGATCCCAGGACCCTGGGATCATGACCTGAGCCGAAGGCGGACGCTTAACCATCTGAGCCACCCAGGCGCCCTGAACAGTACTGTTCTAAACCTTATCAAAGCTTATCACTCTTGTTAGGTTTCCAAAAAGCTATATACCTGGACTATACTACTCTTTCTACAGAAATGCCTTTACTAAAGATTAACATAGTTTTCTACTCTTGTAACTTACTGAAGGTTTTTTTTTTTTTTAAAGATTACTGAAGGTGGAAGCACCCAAGTGCAGACCAACGATGAATAGATAAACAAAATGTGGTATATCCGTACAGTGATACGGTATTCACCCTTTAAAAGCGAAGAAAGTTCTGACACATGCTACAAGGGTGAACCTTGAAGACTTTATGCTGAGATAAGCCAGTCATAAAAGGAAAAACAGTGGGGTGACTGGGTGGCTCAGCTGGTTAAGCGTCTGCCTTCGGCTCAGGTCATGATCCCAGGGTCCTGGGATCCAGCCCCGCTTCGAGGCCCCTGCTCAGGAGAGAGCCTGCTTCTCCCTCTGCCTGCTCTACCTGCCACCGTCCCCCCCCCGACTTGTGCATGCTCTCTCTGACAAATAAATAATATCCTAAAAAAAAAAAAGGAAAAACAGTATATGATTCCATTCACAAGAGGTACTTAAGAGTAGTCAAATTCATAGAGACAGAAAGTAGAATGGTGGTTGTCAGAGGCTGGGGGAGGTGAGAAAGGGGAGTTATTTAATGGATATAGAATTTCAGTTTTGCAGGATGAAAAATGTTCTGTTGATAGGTGGTTGCACAACAGTCTGAATGTACCTAATGTCACTTAACTATACACTTAAAAATGGTTAAAATGAAAAAAAAAAAGGTTAAAATGGCAAATTTTATAGCATGTATATTTTACCACAATTTTGAAAAGGCTTTTTGTATGCACATATGTATCTGTAAATCAGCACGCTATATGGAATAGTACCTATGTAATGTATTTATGTAACACATTCTCTCAGAGTTGTGAGTTGGGAAAAAAGTTTGTTTTATCTAATGAAGGGAAATATTTCCTCTTAATAGGCAATAAGCTGTGTAATTCAGGAAGTTTTCCTTTTTGCCTTTCCTTTTACCAATTTGCCTGAAGATGAATTGTGTGCTCATTAGAAGTAGCTTTTTTCCTTTAAATCGGACTTCCTGATATAATCATCCCATGCCACAGCCGGCTTCTTTCCACCACACACACACACACACACACACACACACACACACTACCCGTTTAATCTCTTATCTTTCCCCTTTGTTTTTAACTTTTACTATATAGATGCTTTTATTATTCTTCACCTCAAGTGTCATTTGAAAATTAAGTAATATATGATAAATCTTAGTCTTGCCTTACATTCATTTAAAACAAACAGAAAAAATAATTAACAGCATAATCCGAATGTATAAGCCTTTAAATTAATTTTAGTACATATGTAATTATCATAATTCACAATGATTTTTTGATTTGTACTGCTGAATATATTAATCAAGGTATCACTCAACTAGACGTTATTCAGGAAGAAGATGGAGAAAAATGGGCTCTGCAATGAGGCAAAACCGTGAAATAAAAAAATCTTATAATCAGGCTAATGATACTGACATTAGCACTGCACTACCTGGTGTTTAAAAAAGCTCAGTATAAATTTAAATCTTAAAGGCCCATACTAAACAACTTTGGATTAGGCTGCTCCCAATGACATATATAGGAAAGAGCCCCGAAATTCATTATCAAATTCTAAACTTCAGTTTTCACTAATTCAGACAAGTCTAATTCTAGCTTATTCCAAAATAATATTTGCTGTATAATATAATAGAAAAGCTATTAACAATAATACAAGAAATTCTGTAGAAATGTTTACTATGAGTACTTGCTAAAATATATGACCACATTTACACAAATTTACTATACAACTACAAAACCACTTATCTGAAAAAATCAATGCATACAGTAAACTCTTATCTGGGTATTTACTAGCCTTTGTATATATAATAGTGTAAAATAACTATTAATTATCCTCACCATGAAGCAATGCCAAATTCTGAATATATATATAAAAGTAGTTGTTGTGTTATAGTATTGATTGAATTCTTTGAGGTATGGTAAGCATTTATTGACTTTGATACTCAAAGTCCCCAATGATGCCAGATAGCTGAGTTTTAAAGTCAATTAAGCAACCTAACAGTGTTACGTTTCAATAGCATACTGCTGGCATGTATATTGTCTTAAAATTCAAATTCTAAACATTTAATAAAGAGAAGACCTACCACGAAGCAAAAAAAAAAGCTAATTTTTGCTACTTGAGTTGCAGTAAGTTTCCCCACAGTTTTGAATAAGGATTCTTGTTCTTTCACAGTAGGATATGACATGCGAGACAACTTGGCTTCCAATGCATGGCTTGATGGAAGCTGCCGAATCTCCATGATATTACTGAACCTTACACGAGACTTTTTGGGAGCTTAAAAGGAAAAGCATAATACAAAATCATTAACATGTCCCCTCACATCCAATGAAAGTCACAAGTTTTAATTTACTGATAAATGATAAATGCATATTCTTTAATCCACATATTATCAGACTTGGACAGCAAAGAAAACCAGAGTTATATTATTACCTGGGGCAGTTCTGCTCAAAGAGTTAACAGGAAAAATATTTTCACTATAAAAATGTTTTAAAGGTTTTAAAATGTTCAAACAAGGGTTCCGCAACTGTGTACATACACAACTGTCTAGGTCAGGATTATAGTATGGTTATTATTTTAGCATTTATGGTAAAACTTTTTTTATTTATGAGAATTATGTTCCTGGTCAAGCATGCAGAACATTCCTCTAGAGGTCCATTCTTTACAAGAGGATATTATGGATAAATACTGTGCTTACGCTGAAGCTGATATTCTTTACTCAATTCACAGAACCAACAAAACTCCTATAATTTGCTATTAGGAGTCTCAAATGGCATGGTTGAAGAGGATCTTGTTCATTTAAATATACATATATTATATATATGTATATGTATATATATGTATGACGAAGCTATACATATATACATACATATATGTGTATATATATATATATGATGAAACCATAGAGATTTTTGATATTTGGAAAATTATTTCTGGTTTAAATAAAAACTTCCAGTCAAACATCTGGAAGATTAGAGGCCAAGTCAATACCGCATGGAAAAAAAGAAATGCCGGGTGATTCCAGTCAACCCACAAAATCACTAAGTTTGGGGATGGCTTAAATGAAGCTAAAATTTCCTCCCATTTCTAAGTTATAAAATTCTAAGTCTTGCTTACTTTCTTCAGTATCAATGTTTGTGTTCTCAGGTTTTTCACTTGGAATATCATGAAATTTCACAGGAACATAAAGAGGTTCACTCTAGAATATAACAAAAACACAAACAAATATAAAAAGCAAGCATAATATCTGATATACCGGTTAAAATTTAAGTTGATGGCATGTAGACATAAATACCACTCAAAACACAGCTGTTCACCACCATAGTTCCCAAATTTTCCCAAAATATATTGGAACAGCACTGGTACATTATATTTAACATTTAAATGTCATAAAAACAGACCTCTTTCTCAAGCTAACAGATTATCTCCAATTCCTTTTCATTTATTCTTTTAACAAATACGTGCTGAGCTTCTACTATGTCAGAAACTGTTCTAGATCCTGGGGATATGAGACTGAAAAAAGACAAAAGTCTCTGCCTTAAGGATCACATAGTTTAAAGGGGAAGGCAGATAATGAAGAGATAATCAAGGTCTAATATGTATATGTATTTGCCAAATTGTTTTCTCTTATTACTTAAGATTCAATTAAAGATTAAGATTCCTGAAAACCATTACAGGATTAATAGACAAGAAAAAAATGGCTACCACTTATCAGTTCTTATAATGACAGTCAAACATGTCTTTCTCATTAGTCCTTATAACAACCTCATAAAATGGTATTTAAAAAAACAGAGATATAAAATAATCAAGTGGTAGACAACAGAATTGCCAGGTTTATCTAACCATGCTCTAAAGTCTGTATTTTTAAGTGGTTCTGAATTCCTCTACTGTTTTTATACATGTTCTTTAACTGATCTATATTTTAGGCACGATTCTCCAACTAAGCTGTTTCTTAAATTAACAGAAAATGTTTTCTATTCAATTCTCTTTTAGCTCTTGGTATAGAACTCTGCCAATGAAAACGATTCAGTAAATGAAGAGGCAATAGGATCTGAAAATAGACACAGTCTCTTTGTTACACTGAACTTTTCATTATAGCATTTGGCCTAGAACAATTTGACATACCCATCTTACTGATAATAGCAAAACTTAGTATTAGAGTAGGTAGAAGAATAATCTGTCACCTCAACTCTGCCTTCTATCCTGATAAGAGACAAGTGATATTAATTTTGCTGATTCTTAAGATCCCAGAGAAATGGAAGGACATTTTCTCTAAGCTTCATAAACTCTTTACAGCACCTGGTAACCTACCCTGCATGCAACTATAGTTCTAAAAGCCAGACAAGTAAAAAACTGTGGCCACAAAGCTAATGCTTTATAAACTGATGCTAAACTTTAGAGTAACTTTAAAATTTTTCTCAGATACAATGCCACATTTGGAACAATACATCTTAAAGAGATGCCTTAGTGATCGTCTAAAAAAAAAAAAAAAGATTTCTACACACTTTCTTTCACACTAGACTCAAACTAGATTATAAATGCTTAAAATAAGTGAATATGTTAATTACTTTACTTGCTCACTACTTATTATCTGTCTCTTTTGCCCTCCCCAAACACACAGTCTCACACACTAGAACATAAGCTATATATTTCTAGAGCCTAAAACAAGTGCTTAACACTTAGGGATGCCTGGGTGGTGCAGTTGGTTGAGCATCCAACTCTTGCTTTAGGCTCAGGTCATGATCTCAGGGTCATGAGATGGAGCCCTGCATTGGGCTCTGTGCTCAGTGGGGGTCTGCTGGAGATTCTCTCTCCCTCTCCCTCTGTTCCTTCTCCTCATGCCCTCTCTCTCTAAAATAAACAAATCTTTAAAAAAAAAAAGTGCTATTAAAAATTTGTTGAAAATATCTGTGGAACAAATGAACAATCTGCTTATATATTCTCAGTGTTAAACAAATATATTTGCTTCTAAGTGATTAAAAATAATGAACACAAAGTGATGAAGTTGGTAAGAAACAAAGGACAAAGGACTGTCCCTTAGGATTTTCACTCCTTAACCAATGTCCTCTTCCCCTCTCTCCTAGAAGGCTGAACTACTTACTTCTAGGTCCCAAGAAATAAAGTACCATATTACAATTCTTATGGTGGGCACCCAATATTAGGATATATCTACATCCTAATATATTGGTGTTATAAAGCTATTTCAGCCCTTCCTGTCATGGCTCAACTCCACCCATTCCACTCCTGATGAGAAAAAAAGCACTTACCAAAGAACTATTCATACTTGTGTCTGTTGTGCAAGCAGCAAAGTAACCTTCAGCATCTGCAAACTACAAATAGAACATAAAATTTGATTAAATGCATGTTATAAAGTAAGGCTGCTGTCAGCCACACTCAAAGGAATAGAATCTAAAATCCAGAGTATTATAAGGGTATAATTACTATTAATCATAATAGCACTAAGGCCAAGTATTCAATTATGCAAGGTAGGTATTATCATCTTCATTTTACTGATGAAGAAACAGGCTGAGAGATTTCATCTAAGTAACAGAGACAGGATTAACACCAAAGTCAATCTAAATACAAAATTTATGACCTTTTCACAATACTATTTATTGTAACATTTCAGATTAGAAGGAAAAGGATGGGTGGGTTTGTGAAAAAGAGAAATAACATCTTAGTATTATCATGATAATAGTATTAACATCAAGAACCCCTAAATGGGGCGCCTGGGTGGCTCAGTCGTTAAGCGTCTGCCTTCGGCTCAGGTCATGATCCCAGGGTCCTGGGATCGAGTCCCACATCGGGCTCCCAGCTCGGCAGGAAGCCTGCTTCTCGCTCTCCCACTCCCCCTGCTTGTGTTCCTGCTCTCGCTATCTCTCTCTCTGTCAAATAAATAAATAAAATCTTTAAAAAAAAAAAAAAAAAAGAACCCCTAAATGGATCAATGGACTGGACCGCACTTGGAGAACCCTACGCTAGTGCTGTACAACCATGTTTCTATTCACCTATGGCTACCCTACCCTACCCTATTTAAGAGGTTAAATAACTTGCTCAAGGTCACGCAATCAGTAAATGACAGAACAAAATTCAAACACCAGAGCCATGCTCTTAAAGAATTCCCGTAAGTCAATAAGGAGTCAATGTAGAAAAACGAACAAGATATAGACAACTCCAGAAAGAATCCTATTGCGCAACAAATACATAAAAAAACACCGAAAGCATGCAGATTAAACAAAATATCATTGTTCACCTATCAAACTCGTAAACGTTGGGATTGTGGTAAGGATTTGATCTCATGCACTGCTAACAGAGATAAGAATTACAGGTTTTAATTTAGCAATAGGAAGCAAAAGCCTGAAAAATGGCATTATTGTTTTATCCACCAATTATACTTTGGAGATTTATCCAAAGTAAATAACTATAGATGTGTATAAAGATATTCCTATTTACTTATACCAAAAGAAAAAGTGAAAACAATCTAACTATCAAGGAACTGTTAAATAAAATAGAAAAGATAATAACAGATGTTTATTTATTAGCCTGGAGAGATATTCATGATATACTGTTAAGTAAAAAGTAAAATCAAGTTAGACAATGATATAGACTAAACCTCCTTCTACTCTAATTTTAAATATATGCACATAAGCACATAGCTACAGAGAGTATCAAGTATATATAGTGGTTGCAGAATGGTGAGATTACAGATAGACTATTCTTATTCTTTATTCTTCATGTTACCATAATTCGTCTTCAACAATGAACATGCATCCCTACAATTTAAAAAAACTTAACATTAAGAAATGTTCTAGGATACTAAATTACACAGAAAGTTGTTCCTGATATACCACTCAGAACAGAAAGCCAACTGTAAAACAGGACATAATAGTATAGTTTCACTTTTGTAAAAATATAAAATAAAAATATACACATGAAAAAGAATGGCAGGATATATGTCAAAATACTCTGGAGTTATTCCTTGAATGGTGGAATTTACTATTTTCTTCTTTTTGTTCCTCTGTATTTCCAAATGTTCAGTAATGTGCATGTAGGTATATATACATATAACATACTCCTACATGTAATACTACAATGTATATACATTTCTATAATGTATATGTATTACTTTTACAAAGTAAAAAATGGAAGTGTTCATTAGAAAAGACAAGAAGTATACTAGTCTAATGCACAAAAAAAGTACACATAAAAGAAAATAATTAATAGAGAAAGAAAGTATTTGGGAGGAGTGGGGAATGGGAGTTAGTTTGGGTACAGAGTTTCTGTTTGGGATAATGAAATAGTTCTGGAGATGGACGGTGGTGATGGTTGCATAGCAAAGTAAATGTAGTTAATGCCACTGAGCATTTAAAATGTTCACTATATGCCACTATACATTTAAAAATGATTAAAATTGTAAATTTTATGTCATATATACTTTACTACAATAAAAAAAGGGGCAAGAAAAAAAGGGCTAAAATGGTAAATCTGATGTTATGTATATTCTATCACAATTTTAAAAGAGGAGAAAAGGAGAAAGAGTGGAAAAGGAAAAGAATTAATATGAGGCCTGCCATTTCTGTCAACACTATCAATCAGCATGTTATGTTACATCAAGGAAAGAGTTTAATTTGGTTAGCCAAACATATGAAAGATGGCCTGAAATAAGCTATTTTCATTTTAATAAATAAAACCTTGCTTTACTTTATTTCTAACAAGCAACTTTACAAGTATTTAGATGGTACTCATCCAGTATGCAAATGACCAAAGACTCCAGATATTCTTATTCCTCACATTCATCTTCATCTCCACACTAATGATTTGGGCTAGTTCAGTATTTTTAACAACCCAGAGGATATTATGAGATAAGGGAAAGAGAGTGATTATGTACCTTTGATTTCTCACAAGATATTTTGATACCAAGTTGATTAAAAGAATAAATTTAAAATTTTGGACAGGGGTGCCTGGGTGGCTCAGTTGGTTAAGCAACTGCCTTCGGCTCAGGTCATGATCCTGGAGTCCCTGATCGAGTCCCGCATCGGGCTCCCTGCTCAGCGAGGAGCCTGCTTCTCCCTCTGACCCTCCCCCCTCTCATGTACTCTCTCTCATTCTCGCTCTCTCAAATAAATAAATAAATCTTTAAAAAAAAAAAAAAATTTTGGACAAAAGTAGGTTTCTCTTATATCATGCTATCTTCACTCACTTAACTGAACAACTTAAAATCTGACTATCCTTCAAGAAACTAATAACTTTAAACTTTGAAAAAATAAATCCCCTCTTCAACAAACACTTAAAATTTGAAACTTACAAAAGCAGCATGCTTTCCTCGAAATCCTCTTGTACATTGTTGTCTCCATGGCTTCCAAATAATAAATCCCAAAAGGTATAGAACAAACATAGATGTTTTTGCAAAGGTGCTGAAGAATGGCTTGTTGTACTGAGTAAAAACATACTGTAAAGGAAAAATTTACATAAACTATGAAATGACTTTAAACCTTATTACTTACCTCCAAAAAAATAAGGCTATTACATGATTTTTAACTCTAAGAGGTTCATGTGGCAGGGAAGATCAGAAGAGATTACAAAAATATTTTATACTCATTTCTACATAATATATTTGCTATATATTATACAAAGGATAATATTCCCAAACAAAGCAGCAACAACTTCCAAAAAAAGTTTTGTTCAACATTCATTAAAAACTTACTATGCAAGAGTACTTGTGCTAGGAGCTAAGGAAAAATAAGATAGCCTTTCCTTTCATATATATATGAAAAGTACACAGCATAATATGCTAAGTACCACAACAAGGGTATACAGGTACCGTGGGATTATCAAAGGGAGACAGACCATTTTGAGGATTGTGGAAGATTCTTAAGAGAAGCTATCCTTGAGCTGCATGTGTAGGGCTGAATAACAGCCAAGAGGAAACAGCATAAAGAAAGACAATGAAGCAGAATGGCGTATGAATAAAATTGCATGAAGGTTAATGTTGCCAGGAAGTTATATAAAACCTATAATCTTCATTTAACTTAGAATTCATGATTTTTTTTGTTTCCTTAAAAAAAAAATGTCCTAGTTATGTACACTGAAAGGCCTAGAAAAATTGACAACCCAGGAGGAATGAGCACCTATAGAATCCAGAAGGTGATCTGTATCGTCTTGCAATTAAAGAAACCATGGGTTCTTAAAGAAATGATCAAATCCAAATAGGGGGCAAGAAAATTACCAGATGAACCTGAGGCATCTTGCACCAAAAAGCAAATAGGATGGTAAAGACTAATAGGGTCATATTGAAAGGATAGTAGAGCCAATTTGAAGAGGCTCCTACTGGTCAAAGATAGTACAGTTTAAGCACCAAAAGGAGTAACTACAATTGTCTGAAACATATGAAATACACAAAAATCCATGAATGTATGATGATACCCTACGGTTACTATTAGAAGTTGCTAAGCAACATTACTCTAAAACAAAGAATCAAGATTTATTCAATGCTTCCTATATGAACCATGTTTCAGGAAAACCAAACAGTAGTAGTGAAAACCTCTCCTTAAAGAATTCAGCTAAGGGGTGCCTGGGTGGCTCAGTCGTTGGGCATCTGCCTTTGGCTCAGGTCATGATCCCAGGGTCCTGGGATTGAGCCCCACATCAGGCTCCCTGCTCCGCGGGAAGCCTGCTTCTCTCTCTCCCACTCCCTGATTGTGTTCCCTCTCTCGCTGTGTCTCTGTCAAATAAATACATAAAATCTTTAAAAAAAAAAAAAAAAGAATTCAGCTAATAAATGCACAAGGAATGACCCTTAGAAAAAATCATTTTACAACCCCTAATGAAATACTCTATCTGGGCAATAATCATATGGATATTTGACTATTACCTAAAGGTTGATGAGAAACTTTATAGTGCTGAAGTTGGCATCACCCAAAGTAAGACTTGCAGCCATTATGTGCCTCATGTGTTGTCACAGGAAGTACCCAGTACCACCAAGGTATCTTTTCCTAAGAACTGAACCTGAATCAAATCAGGACTTTACACCTAACTACCATTTTATAGGAAATAAGAGAAAAGGAGAAGCAAGTTAAATGACACCCCAAGGAAACAATCAGCCAAATTTAAAATGTGTGTTATGGAGCGAATATGTGTGTCCTCCCAAAATTAATATATTAAAATTCTAACTCCCAATGTGATGGTATTAGGAGGTGGGGCCTTTGGGAGGTGATTAGGTCAAGTATAGAGCCCTCATGAAAGGAATTAGTGTCTTATAAAGATACCACAGAGCGCTTTCCTGACCTCCTGGCCTTTTGAGGACACAGTGAGAAGACTGCCACCTAATAACCAGGAAGTGGCTCCTCAGCAGACGCCTAATCGGCCAGTGCCTTGATCTTGAGCTCTCCAGCCCTCAGAGCTGTGAGAAATAAATGTGTGTTGTCTGAGCCACCCAGGCTAACGGCAGCCATGTTGTGGCACCCCAAATGGACTGAAACAGTGTGATATATCCTATAGGAAAAATGATCCAGTTTTTCCAACAAATCATTAGCATGATTTAAAAAAAAAAAAAAAAGGTGGGGTTGGGGGAATACAGTTAAGGAACGAAAGCGACTTAAAAGAAATTTGCATATGGACCAGGTACCAGATGATCTTAAAAAATTACCATTAATTTTGTTAGACATATAATTTTGTTAATGGCATGGTGATTATATTTTTAAAAATTAGGATCTTTTCAGTTTGAGATGAGTATAAAAGAATTTACAGGTCAAATGACAAGTAGCCAGGCTAGAACAGACTTGAAAATACTTCAAGAAACATGTCTAGGGAGGGGTTCATAAGAAAAGATTGGCAAAATTTAATAGTTGTTAGGTATATGAAGATCCATTATACCATTCTTTCTACTTTGTATATGTTAGAAAATTTCTGTAATAAGAAGATTGATTTTCTTGTTGAAATACACAATATATCTCAAAAGTTTAATGTGCATATTTGGCTGAAGAATCAGACATATTACATATGCTCTTGGATAACAAAATTATAAAATATCCTCTTACTAAGAGAGACAGATTGCTAAATTATAATTTGATCAGGTCTTCTTCTGTCCTAAATTTTATTACCTGACAAATAAAAACCAAACTATTTAAAACTAAAAGTTTTACAGATAAGCTTATTTCCCCTTCAACATTAAAGAGATCTCTGTGGTTAAACTACAGAATGTTCATCTAAAAAAAAAAAAAAGGTTACAGAAGAGTGGAAAAATAATAAATGGCCTGTTGTATTCCAGAGCCTACTTCCAAAACGGCTAAAAATTTATTTACTCATTGGCTAAAATGTCAGTGTCAGCTATTTACTTAACTATGATGTGAGATGACCAGCAGTGGCAAACTGCTTCTTCTGACATTTAAATTCATTTTATAAATACTTTTTCCTTTTGTATCTTAGCCTTAAGACTACAACATATAAGTTGAAAAGCAGTAATTTCTGAAATTAAAATTGCACATCTTTTTATAGAGATCATTAGCCAAACAGAATAAAATATCTACATATATAACTAGAAAGAAAAACTTTGTGCACTCAAAATAACACATTACTATCAAGAGGACACTGATAAAGGTAAAATAAAATTTAACTGAATGCAATCACCATATACCATGTATTTCACAATGTTTGAATCAGGAAATGTATAAATGTGCATGCACCCACGCATATGCACAGTAGTGACCTGTACATGAAAGCTCTGATCACTTTCACTCATCTGTTCAAAAGTATTCTTACTTTCCACTAAATGGTGACAAATGGCTTTGCATCCTAGATACTTGTTCCACTAGAAAATATTATTTATAAACAAAGAAACTGAATTTAGAAAGAAAACAACAAATACATAATCAAATATTAAGAAAACATGAATGTGGTCTCATTTTTAAAATAACCCTCCCTAGGGGCGCCTGGGTGGCTCAGTCATTAAGCCTCTGCCTTTGGCTCAGGTCATGGTCCCAGGGTCCTGGGATAGAGCCCCACATCAAGCTCCCTGATCAGGGGGAAGCCTGCTTTTCCCTCTCCCTCTCCCACTCCCCCTGCTTGTGTTCCCTCTCTTGCTGTGTCTCTCTCTGTCAAATAAATAAAAAAGTCTTTAAAAAATAAAATAAAATAACCCTCCCTAAAAGATAGAGTATCTTTTGTTTCAACTTGAATTGACATCAATTCACTTATCAAAAAAAATATAAATAATTCAACATTCAAAATACTGCTTTAAGCAAGCATGAGAGATAGAAATGATTATCAAGACACCACAGATTAATAGCAGTATTACTATAATGCAATATCATTCCTAGACAAGAATTACCTACCGAAGTAAGTTCTGAGGATGCGACCCATATCACATCAACAAGTAGGAGAATAACAATCCCAAGAGCCATTCGCCTGCGCTGAGTGAAACCACTGCTCTGGGAATTCAGCCGGTTCATGATAAATACACACACCATTTGCAATCTGTTTTTTAGAAAATACAGATCACATTAGAGAAGATTTTTGAAAAATAACCGTAGAAAATGAGAAAATTAGTATAAGAGAAACATCTGACATTTCTTAGCTGATGTTGTTTGAAAGTCACACAGTAAATTAAAGTGGGGTTTACCTTACTTTAAAGGCTTTTCTAAGATCTTCAAGAGCAATGCCTGAAAACTTGGCAGATCTGAGTCTAAAAGGAGGTGAAGAACTCAGCGCACCTAAAAACAGCCATAAAATGATGCTTATGAAAACATCAACCACTCAAAATAAGGTTCATCACATCTTTTTTACCCTGAAAATTCAAAATGAACAAATGAAAGAAAAATACCAAAATGTGCTAAATATAACTGACATTTTTCTCTAGCCTCTTTATTCACTGTATATTTCAAATTACACTCAGAGAAGTAAAGGGTACAGAAAAAAAAAAAAAGCAATCTTCAAAAAAAAAGGCTATTTAAGAGTAGTCAGCTACTGGCAAAAAGCTCCTCCGAGTTTCGTAAATACAGAAACTCCATTCGCCTCTCCCTGCAGAGGAATCCACCCCAAGGGACAATGTCTAGACTCGCGCCTGTTTCTGCCTTTTCTGTCTTCGATCTCTTGGAGGGGAGTTTGATTATTTGAGAGGAAGTGATTTGTTGTGAGTCTTGGGGGCGCGTTTCCAATCGCCTCACGTGGTAGAGGGAGAAGATACTCCTCCACACTCCCCCACCCACCCTTGCCTGTCACTGCATCTAGTTTCTTTAGATCCAAAGAGTAATTCCCGAGACGAGTGAGGAAACAGCTGTTAAAGGAAATCCTCATCTTCTTTTGAGGGGGAAAAAAAAAAGTTAAGCCGTGACACCTTCCCCAGGGAGTGAGAAAAAGCGCGGAGGCGGCGCTCGAGCAGCTCCCACTAGTGTCGGAGTCCAGAGCGGACTCACACGCCCCTGTCAGCCTTCCCCTCACACCGCCCCTTGGAGACCAATACCATTTCGGCCAGGAAGCTTTCACCGACTCCAACAGCTGGGGGTGGGGCCGTTCGTGGGCACTCGGTCCCGGCTGGGGCTCCCGGGAATTTCGGGGCCCTCCCCTGCCTGCCTACCTGGCCTTCCTGCCCCGCGATGGTGTCGTGGCGGCACCATGAGCGGCCTCGGCCCGGACCCGCCGCCGCCCAGCGCCACGGCCGCGGCCTCACAGAGCTGTCGCGGTGCCTGACATTGCGCTGGAGGGAGGGAGGCCCAGCCCCTGAAGCCGCCGTGTCCCTCGGGGCGAGGCTGCGGACGCCACCCGACCCCACTCGGCCCGGGTGGGCGGGAAGCGGGCGAGTGGAACGGACCGCGCAGGCAGCGATGGCCGCGAAGGCCCGGAGCTGGACTCC